AATAATAGTTGAAATTTTTTAGTTGAAGAGTTTGTTGTATTTTAAGTGAAATAAAGTTAAGTTTGTTTATTCAGTATAGTCAATTACTAGTGAACCCACGGGGAAACACGTAACAGTATTTTTTTAAAGTCTGTTAGTGTTGTAGCGTTTTCTGTCTAGTTTTCAGTATCCAGAAAAATACATTCAGATTTTTACTATGACTATTTTGCATTCTTCACCCAAACTTTTTCTTTCTCTCACATTGAAATTTTTTAACTTGTTTTTGCGTTCATTTGAAGTAAAGAACAACATAAATACAAAAAATTGTTCCAAATACTTTTTTCGTTAACTTGATGTTGTTCCCCACGAACCTGTTAGATAAGATGAACGAGGTCCTACATTTCAAAGTACGATTTACTTCAGATGACACTCAATAAATGTCCTCATTTCTCATCAAACATATCGGACCAATTGGAAAAATGCAAATATCGATTTTCTTTTCGTTGGTAGAAGTATCTATTTCGAAACCACCCTGTTTTGAATATTCGATTCGGCTTTTTCTCTGCTGCTTTCTGCCTGATTGTTTAGGGAACGCAAATTGGGCAATAAGCTCTTATATTAAATGAATTATGTGTTTTGTTATCTCCTTCGTTTTATTAAACAGTTCCCCGTCTCGAGACTTGCTTTTATACGAATGAGAGTCATATGTTTAAGTAGAGAAAGAACGACATTCTTATACTTGGTTTTATTTTGGATCGGTTTTTTTGCCGTTTCTATAGGGTCATACTTGCAATATGAACATTTTTCCACCATATTTGGAAATGTGGTACGAAACCCTTCTCTGAAACGAACATATGTCTCGTCCATGATTTCTGCAAGATGTAAATGATGTTGAAGTATACAATATAATTGTTTCATTAAGAAAGAGAAAATCGCCAGGATTATATAATCTGAGGGCGGAACACCTGGAAATTATTATTAATGAAATATAACTACTCCAATAACATTACTAATCAATAAGTAGTTCAAAGAAGGGTGTGGTTCAACGGCTTTTAAAAAATCACTTGTACCCAATTCACAAAAATGAAGAGGAGTTGAATATGGCTAACTATCTTTCCATTTCATTAATATCCACCTTGCTTAAAATTTTTGAGAAAGCCCTAAAGAAAAATAGTTTTCTTTGAAAAAAATAATATTCTTTCTCATGAACAATATGGATTTCGGTAGGGAAAGTCTACTCAGGATGCACTATCAACAGTGCTAAATGAAATAGCAATATTGACAAAAAACACCAACCTTTTGTGTTTACGTCGACCTAGAAAATTCGTTCGTCACAGTAAACTTCTCGAAGTTATAAGAGGAACGTTATAAGAGGAACACCACACTCACTAGTTAAAAGACAGTGAAAATAGACAACAATGTGTCAAAATTGGTGACAACATCAGTAAACTCAAAACAATAAAATATGGTGTTCCCCAAGGAACCGTATTAGGACCAATACTATTTACTGTTTATCTAAAGCAGGATTTGAAGGTGATATAGTGAGTTTTGCAGATGATACGGCAGTAGTAAATAAAGCCGATACCTGGCAAAATTTAAAATCAATTTAAGAAAATAACTCTCCTGAAATTATAGAATGGTTCGATAACAGATTACTCACGATAAATACATTGACCAAATATCATGGAGTATATATTGATAACAACCTGAAATAGGATAGCAGTAGCACGGTAGCAATGGGTTGTTCTTAGAAGGAATTCCTGTCCCCAGTATTATAGAACTTTGTAATGGATGGGTAACTACGTTCTTCAGACTTGGATTCAAAATACTGGGCCATGAAGACGACTAAGTCACTACAGTCCACTACAAATATAAATACAATAATACAGTGAGAAGATGCATTAAAAAGGCCCCGAATATATAGCTGAGGAAGAAGAGTTGACCAAATCGAACATTTACCAAGATAAATGAACTAAGATTAACAACATTTTGTTCCGGAATACTAGTGTGTGATAAGGTATGGCTAATCAACAGTTTGTACCAATTCATGAGAAACACTCTGGCTTACCAAAAGTAATCAATTTTTCAGGAAAACACCTACTAGAAGTTAAGATTAGTAGTAGCTACAAAGTAGTGTGGTTGATGTAAT